TGTCCGAAGCTTAGTTTTCGAGTTATAATTGAAAATAGATAGCAACTTACGAGTTCGGTACAACGGGCAGGCAGGGACGCGCAACGTATAATGAGACTGTCAAGTGTTTACTATCGTCTCATGACACATTACACCGTCCCTGTCTGTCCGTTGTATCGGACTCGTAAGTAGCAAACTATTTTCAATTATAACTCGAAAACTAAGCTTCGGACAAAATTTTGTAAAAGGAAAAATCGTCTCAGAATTCGCTCAAGAATATGGCATTGCAAGGACATCAGGTTATTTTGAATCACCCTGTATAAATACGTACCACAATTAAAGAAAATAAAAATTGAACTTTTAGGGCTTGAGTTATTTAAGATTTAAGAGATAAAATATAGAATCTTGAGATTTGGAGTTTAAGTGATACTAGTGCAATCTATTAAAAATTCAGATTATGCAATACAGCAGAAGAAATGAAGAAAATAGTATGTGATGGTATTTATAACTATATACAAATAATAATAATAAATAAACTCTCTCTTCTATTGATAATTCTACCCATAGTATTTAAGCGTAAAGCTTTCTAAGAGTAGAATTAATAACAGTGGACAAAGTTATTTTATTTTTATAAAGTTATCGTGATCTCTTTCTTTTAACCAAATTCGAATAATATAAAATTTCAAGCTTTCAAATCTCAACAGTTCAGATCAAATTAACATAAATAATAAATTACACAATTTAATTTAACAATTGATTAATAAAGCAATTTGTAACTATTAAGTTTATAAAAATTATTATCATATTGATATCACTTCAATAAAAGAATATATTAATATCCTAAATGTTAATTGTAAACAAATGTTAATTCACCAAATAAATTATAAAACAAAACCTACAATCTCTTTCTGATTAATGCATATTAATTAGAAAATGACTGGAGTTAATTTATGATCCTAATAATTGTTTTATATTTAATCATATCAAATATCTATTAATTATAATTATTAATTACAATCCCAATTATTGACGAAAAACTTTACATTATTCATCAGTTATATAATAAATGTATAATCATATTCAACGTGATTATTATATTACCCAACTCTGTTTCGAATTTATCGAGACTTTGAACGTCGAAAGGCAAAGGATATTGAGCAGGCAATGTAGGAGTGAAATCGGGATGAAGAGAAATTATCGCAAACAATAAATATGTTGTGTATTTACATGTTGCGTGAGCAAAGATTCACCTCGAGATCCATGGTGGTGTGCCGCGTGGGCGGAGTGCCGTACTGGCCGTGCGGTGGCGGCAAATGATGCGGATGCAGGGGGTGCAGCTGCTGCGCGTTGAACTGTTGATGATGAAGAGAGGCTTGATGATCGTTGCCACCGAGAGTATGCCTTCTCGGCTCGTCCCTCGAGCGGCCACTCCCAGAGGAGCTTCGACCCCCGAGCCGCCCCGCCGCTGCCGCCGCCGCCAGCACCGACCCCCAAGACACTACCACCGCCTCCGACTCCGACGCCGCCACCGCCGCCACCGCTGCCGCCAACGCAAGGCCGTCTGCCAGGTGTGAGTTCGTTCGAGCTGAGGTCAACCTCCCCCCTGATGGATCCACCTGCAATCACAAGCATTTCTGATTAGGAATATTGTTGTTGACCTTTGAACGATAAATCGAGAAAAAACGAATTAGAATTGGAATTTGTCTACATTAAGACATATTAGAGTGTGTACACCGATCTCAAATTTTAGATACATAGAATGAACGAAAATTAAGTACATTGATCTCACTTTCGAAGAATCAGAATATACCAATTAAATAGGAAATTATTGAAATTAATGCACTCTAATGTGTCTCAATGTAGACGAATAAAAGTTTCCATATAAAATATAAGAAAATTTTCGCATCAACAACCAGCGATGGCTCACTAAGCCATTTAATATATTATATTAATTCATGCAAGCCTTTCCCTTATATGTATTAGATTAGAATTATTTTATTATTTAATCTTATAAAATTTAATAGAGCGGTTGTGACGTGTTAATTAATGTATTGATCTAGCACGCCAGTGGTGACAGATTCGATCCCCGCCGGCATACACTTCTCCTCGCAAGACAATGGCAAACCAGTACTTGAGCAGTATCTTGTCTAGAAAACTTCTCAAACCCTTCAAGATGCAGGGCTCAAAGCATCTGCGAGAAGTCACCATGCTCAAGAATAAGTATAAAGACTGACGATAGTAGACATTTAATAAAATGCTTCATAATAAAAACGTTTTATGAAAAGAGTTCAACGTTTAGTAGATGAACACTGAAATAATCTCCTTTCGATCAGAATTAATTTAATTTCAAATATCATATGTTTGTCGCAATATTTACATCAATTCTGGTGATAGCAGGCTGTATCGCAATCTACGAGTTAAATTTTCGATTATCCAGCAGTAATATAGATCAAGATTAATCTGGCAGTTATCATTTTCCAAATATAAAATATTTCAATAACTATCAAAATGAATTCTGTTGAAATATAAATTAATATTTATTAAAAATTTCTTTTTTACAAGTTGCATTTATCAGTGACAATTCACTAAGACAATGTCTGATAAAATAACTTAAATGTACAAATTGCGCTTCTTGTGCAAGCTTTTCTGAAAGAAAGAGCATAAAAGAACAAGAGAAAGTCTCACAAGACTGAAGAAAAAAGCAGGGAAAGACAGAATTTTCCCGAAACCTATTAATAAACGTCCTCGTCGAGGAAGCAAATAGCCTGTCGACCAAACGACCTATTTGGCAGAAAGTATATCGCAACAAAGTGTACCGAGAATAACGAAGTTCGCGGAAGTGGCCGGAAATAGTTATGGGATGACACGTGTGCATGCGTACACACCATGGAGCTCAGCTCAAAACTAGCAAGCAATTCTGTAATTGTGAATTTTCCCACTAATTTAAAGTCGATCTTTCTTTTTCGGTGAAAATTTCGGGAGAAGTCATCTTGTATCTTTCCAATTTTCAACATCATACATCTTTTTAACCAAGTATAAAATTAAAATTTGCATAAAATATTAAAGTTTAATCCACTTTAAACTAATAGAATATAGTTCTGTTATTTATTCATCCTTCTAAAGCTTACTTTGCAGAAAGTTTTTTTATTTTTAATTATAACTCAAAAATTCGCCTTGATATTTTTTCTGAGGAAAAATCAACTCCGTGTTGATTAGAAAAATTTTCCATTAAAAAAATATACGTGTAAAAGTTTTGGGATATCCTATGTATAACCAAACTTGTACCAGTGCACTGGTCATTGTCAAGAACGCGACAATCTTCGAGTGAGCTCGAGGAATATAGCAAACGTGCGCACAATGTGAATGTTCACTCTTCCGGATTGCGAAAGCGTCGCGCTACCTCGTTTACCCGCGTCATTCTCTCAACTTAATTAAATACAAACTCGTTGATGAATAACCGGTGGTTCGACGGCCCGTTTTCCCTCGGAAACGGACGTATTTCCCGGGTCACAATCAATTTCGTCGAGTCCGCGGCGTAGCCGAATACAGGGGTGGGCTTAACGACGTCCGAAAGCTCCGGCAGAAGCTCCGTGCGGAAAATGGGTCAGCCGTCAGAGTGGTGAACCGAGAGAGAACCGGAACGTCGTCCTCCAATTAATGACGAGATCCGAATTCCAACGGACCTAAACACGCGCGATTCAATCGTCCTGGTAGCGTCATACCTCGCGTGAATGGTCAAACGCTGAGCATTTCAACATTGTGCGGTGGCCGTGCCGCGCAAACGTCAAATCGCTATCCACGGCAGATGTATGTCATAAAGTTTGCATGTCACATCAGTAAACAAAGTTCTTGACCAGTTACATGTAAGATGACATTTCTTATCAGTCTAAAATAGACTTTATTACATTGTTTTGCATGCGGTTTAACAATATATTGAATGCGTTATATGAGATATATAGATATGTTGTTGTGAGTTTTTATTTATTGCGTGTACACTGAAGATGGCTGAATCCATTGTGCCGAAACATTTGTATGAATAATTAATGATTTGAGCATTTTAACCTGGCTCTAACTTTTATTAGCTCCTTTATACTTCAAATTATTAGATTAATATAAGAGTCTATTTCAAAATTACCCGAAAAAAAATGGTATAATTGGTCAGATGTAAATATATATAATTAGTTATGAAAAAATCTGATAATATATGTAATTTTATATGATCATATAAAATATTACATGTTATCAGATATTTTCATAACTAATTATATACACATATTGTATATTTACATCTGACCAATTATACTATTTTTTCTCGGGTATGTATTTGTATTTTGTATTATTTCAATTCACGCTAGCTTCAATATGCGGAGTTTTTAAAATTTGTTCATTAATACTTCGGTAAATGTATATTTATTTACATGCTTGAAAAGTGCATGAGATTGTTTAAACTGATTGTGAGTGTTAAGTTACGCATTTGCATCAAATTTTTAAAAGTATACCGTGGTTTGATACTGTCACATCTTAAATTATTATGCACAAAACAATTGAATTTATATCGTATCAGTTCTTATCAAAAGTTATCAAGATTAAACCAAATATTGGAAAACAAATTATTACAATTTGAGTTAAACGATGTTTATGTTTTCTTACGTCATGTGAGAATCGATATTTTTAACATGTTCAAATATTTATCCGATGTTTTACCATTAAATCCGACTTGCGAATTTCTCAAAATAAACAAACTGGACAAAAAAGATGTGATACATTGAAATTGAGAGATTAAATAAAAAAATGGATTGGCTAGTTTCTAAACGGAGCAACAAGATAAAATCCAGAATAAAACCCATCACTTATTCTTGTCATATATCAGATGTTAGTGATTCACACAGTGATAAAAGTGGAGGTTCATTGGTTTTGGTAAAAGCCAATAATTATAAAGTGGATGGTAAATTGGATATTAATAGAACCTAACTAGAGTTATATATTTTAGTCAATAATTGAGGAATCAAGAAATGGTTTTTGAAATTGTATAAGAAATGGTTTCTCTCTCAGATATTTCGAGAGAGGTGGAATTAATATTACAGTTGGGTGATTAGTTCAATTTGCCATTGACAAACAAAAAAGTTGTTTTATTTGAGTTTATTCAGAGCATTGAAAGAAATCTGAAGAATTGCAATGATAAAGTTCAATGCTCCATTAGAAATGATGCCATTTCGATTATCAATAAAATGTGCAAATCTAAAGTTAATAATAAAAATAGTCTGTTGTACAATTGGTTTTAGCACACAAAAAAGTTTGTTACGGAACATCGGGATATTTTGTTCAGAAAAATCGATAAAGGGAATACCACCGTTATCTTAAATAAAACAGAAAATGGAATCAAGATGATTGAGATGTTCTTAGATACAAATACGTATCAAGTGATTAAAAAAGATCCGACTAGGAAATTGACTGAAAGTTTACGTACTCTTTTGTTTGGATAGAAAGAAAGGAAGATTGATGAGATATATTGATGATTATACATATAGAGGTCTAATAAAAATAGACGGTACTCTGCCTAGAGTCTACAGATTGCGAAAGATACACAAACCGAGTCATCCATTTCGAATTATAGTTTCGTCAATTAGATAGATAGATAGATAGATATATTTATTTGTTCCCCTCAGGGTTACAATCTCCCTCTCCTTCTCTTCTTCCATTTACATCCAACTTACTTCTAACTTATTCTAACTTACTCTAACTTACTCTAACTTATTCTATTTATACTCTATCCTTAACCCTAAATCTACAT